GGGCAGCTGGAGCCCCTGGTGCTGAGCTGCCGGCGGCGGAGGAGACGCCTGGCGTGGGCCCGTGGGCTGTGATGACAAGGCTCCTGAGGAGGCAGAGTAGGGGGTGGGAGGTGCACCCAGTCCCCGGGAGCACCTCCGTCTCTTCCGGGCCCTGGCTCCAGATAGTGGACTGGTACCCTGCCCTGCGTGTGTCCAGTGTGAGGCCCCCGGGGCTCTCACTGCTTCTCAGGGCCCCTCATGTCCGAGGTGATGGTGGGAGGTGATGTCCTGTGGATTTAATCCTGCCGTCAACCCCCGGGAGCCCTTTAATTGTTCCAGGAAGCTGCTTGGGTGGGTGGCTGCAGCCCAGTGAGGGACACGAGGACAGGCAGGAGCCCCCACCTTAAGCGGTCAGCACTGTAGGGCACAGCCCCTGCCCCTGTCCCCTGCAGGCCCCATGTTCCTCCTCTGCCCCTGTCCTGTACCCCTCCCCGCGCCAGGACTTGGGCAGAGGTACTGGACAGGAAGAGACAGAGGGCCCGGTCTTGCTGTGCCCTGTTCCTGCCCTAGAGGACCCAGCAGGCATCCCCAGGACTCACATGGCCCCCTCTGTCCCCCGCTGTCCCCCGACCTGGCCAGGCATGTGCTGCTCATCACCACTGCAAGTGTAAACCGAAACCCAGCCAGGCCCCTCACGGACCGTCCCAGATGGCACCGCGCATCAGGGCGGAGGCGGCTGCAGGGTGAGAGGCCTGGTCTGTCCTTGTGCACAACACATGAGCATCTAGGCAGGCGCTGGGGGTCAGAGGCTTGTGCAGCCTGCGCGGCCCGGAGAAGCCAGAGACCCAGATCCTGCCCTGCAGCCCCGTCTCTCTGCCTGAGTCAGGGAGCAGCCCGGGCCTGCTGGGCACCCCCTGGGCATGAGCAGCTGGGTCCCCTGCCCCCCGCTCTGTTTGGGGGTGGAGAAAGCTGCGCTCTGCGCTGGCCAAATTGAAACCAGAATTGTACGGCGGGCGGAAAGTGGCTGCACCTTGTAGCCTAACCCTGCAGGAGATCAAGGATGTCTTTCCGTGTATCGTGTTGATCCGCGTGCAGCCACAGATGCACAGCAGCGGGATGATGAGTCCGTCCTGGGCCCTCGGCTGGGCTGTGTGTGATTGTGACCATTTTATAGCTTAGTTGGCTGAGACCGAGCTGGGACAGGAACCTGTCTTTGTCCTCTGGGTTGGAGAGTCCCCAGGTGACCCCGGAAATGGCCCAGTGCTGACCTGGGCCATTGGCGTAAAGCTTAAAGGAGGTCCAAGAGGCATGGGAGGCTGAGGCAGGAGTATCTCAAGTTTGAAAACGTAGTGACTTAGCAAGATCCCGTCTCACAAAAATTAAAAGCCCCCTCAGCACCAGGCCCTTGCCCGGGGTCACTTATGCCCTGCCCTGTCCTGGCCCTTTCTGTCCACATGTAACCAACCCTCATGTTAGGTGTTTTCGTCCCCATCTGGCAGGTGGGGAGCTGAGGTTCTGTAGGCACCGCCAGGCACGAGAGGGCCTCTGTTCCTCTGCCACCACTGGCATCACGGAGACTGCAATGTGTGGCTCCCCAGGGGTCCTGGGCTCCAGGGTGGCCTGGGAGTCACTCAGCCTGTCTCAGCCTCCTCTTCTGGGGAAAGGGGCAGAAACAGATTGGGAGGAGCTGCTGCCCTGGGCCTGGCCGGGAGCTGCAGATGTGGCCAAGGACGGGACAGGGACAGAGCCACGGCCTGGCCCTGGGGGTGGGGGACCGTGCGGAGATCCAGAGACGGGGCAGGATGTGTGCACGGTGTGTGTGTCTGCACTGGCTGAGGCGCGGGGGAGAAGCAGAGCCACCCCTGCTACTCCAGACTGGAGCCGCGAGCTCCTCCGGCCAGCCCGTGCGTGAGGTCAGGTCACGTGGCTGGAGTGTGGCGGGGGTTCCCTCACTGGGACAAGCTGGGCCCTCCGGGCACCACGGAGAGGAGCCTGGGCTCGGCCCGGCCCAGGAGGACAGACAGGAAGTGCAGCCTCCCTCCTGTGGTGTCCCAGCCCCACGGAATTCTGGAGACACCGGTGCCAGGCGCTGGTCCGACTTGCCCGGCTGCTGCCTGGTGGCTGCATAACAACAGCAACTTGCACGCATTCCGTTGCCGGTGTCAGAGCAGTGGGTGCCGGATGGGCTGAGAGCTCAGGAGAACCTTGGGGCCTTGCTGCTGGGCCGCCGAGGCTCCTGCATGAGGGTGAGGGTGGTGTGCTATCTGGCCTGCAGGAGGCCCCAGGGTCTACACCGCTGTTACTTTTGCCTCCTACCCATTCCCTCCCCATTTCTGCTTTAGCTACACCAGCCTGCTCATTGCTGAAATCACCAGGCCCCAGCCAACCTCAGGGCCTTTGCACTGGCTGCCCAGGAAGCTCTTTCCCTGCATATCCATGGGGTCCACATCCTCTTACACTCAGGTGTCTCCTTTTCAGAGAGGCCCCTCTGGCCACGCATCTTATACTGGCCCCCTCCCCAGTCTGTCACTCTGCTCCTTGTGCCCTGCTCTGTACCTTTTATAGTGCTGGACTCATCCATTTTTGTTTGTCAGTTTATGGTCAATAAGGGCAGAGGCTTTTGTCTGTTTTGGTCTCCGTTGTTTCCCCACAGCCCCTGGAACATAGTAGTTGTTCAATAAACATTTATTGACTGAACCATGGGTCAGGAAATCCAGCCCCCAGCCACTTACTTCTTTAGCCCTCTTCCCAGCCTGGGTGTGAGGGGTGCTCTCCCTTGGGACAGGTGAAGCTGCGAGGGTGCAGGATTCTGGGCTAGGTCAGGCTGCCCAGGGGAGCCCCACAAGCTGACATGCTGGGGACAGAAATCCTTCCCCAGAGGCAGGAGGCTGTTGCTGCCCCATCAGGGTGGGCTTGTGGGAGACGTGGGGTTTGAATCTCTCTTCTCACTGCTGTGGCTGCCTGGCTTGGGAGAGAAAGGGGCCTGGCTCTCTCCCCCGGCTTGGGGTGCCCAGCTGGCCCCAGTTGTGGGTTTTCTGTGCCTGCTGGGTGCCATGCGGGTCACCAGCTCTGCCACAGTCAGTGTTCAGCGGTGCAGACTCCTCAGTGTCTGCAAACGTCCCCTGCCTCTTCTACCCTGGACCCTGTCACCCAGTGGACGTTTGTATCCTGAGCATCATGTCCCTCCCTTCGGGCCACCTCCTCTCACCTGGCACAGGTGTGGGCATCTCCTGCCCCCAGGCCGGGGACACGGGATCAGCAGCCCCTCCTGTGAGCCAAGCCCACCCCCCGCAGACCTTCACCAGAGCGTCCTCTTCAGGCCTCTTCCAGAGGCGCGGGGAAGGCAGTCGCTGCGGAGCCCAAGAACAGCTGTCCGCTCTCCCGTCTGCCGTTACTGCCCCATGGGGATCAAATGGCCCTGGCACAGCGCCCCCTGCTGGGCCTCCGTGCTCACCATGCACCGTCTGGGTCTCTTCGCTGCTCCGAGACTGGCAAGGTGTTGGCACTAATGTGACCGCTCACTGATTACCAGGTCAATCCTGTCCCGGCGTGAAGATGAGGCCCGTGCCGGTCTGGCTGATGCCAGGGGCTTTGCCTGTCTGTGCTGATTTCCCGTCTGCTCTGGCCTGTGGCAGGGCGCTGACACCTGCTGGTCCTGAGTCCCCGGCTGGGCGTCCTCAGGCCCCAGCTGTCCTCCTGGCCTCCACGTGTGCCCGTCACTGGGCCACGCTGCTGCTCCCCCTCCCTCGCTGGCTGACAGGGTGACAGGAGGAGGGTGTCAGAGGCGACTTCCTTGCTCGAAATTTTCATCCTTCCCCTGCTAGACCGGAAGCCACCTGCTGGTGTCCCAGAACACTCGTGGGTCTGGAATCTCTGTGGCCTCGACCTTCAGAAGCCGGTCCCTCGGGTACATCCGTGCTTCCCCTGGGCGTGTGGGTGGCCTGACCTTCCTGAGTCCTCCCACTTCTCCTGGGCCCTGCAGCCGGCGTGGGCTTGGCCACCCTGCAGCCCCCACCCGCCTGGCCGGTGTCAGGACCCCAAGTCTCCTTTTGCCTTGGCACACGCCGGACACTTGCCCCCTTGTACTGAGGAGACAGCTGTGGCCTTGCAGGGGTTGGGGAGCTGGCTCTGCTGGGGCCAGGGAGGAAACGGTGAGGGACAGCATGCTGATGGGAACAGGAAATAGGGCTGTTTTCCCACCTGGGCTGAGGCGTATAAGACCCTGGCAGAGCTGATCATGGTGGCACACGCCTGTGTCCCAGCACTTGGGAGGCTGAGGCAGGAGGATCGCCAAGAGTTCAGGGCCAGCATGGGCTACATAGTGAGACACTGTTAAAACAAAACAAAAAACCCCCAGCATTGTAGGGGAGCGTGTATGTGTGTGTGGTGACTGTGTGGCTGTGGCCCCTGGTGCTCCTGGGGATCTGGGGCTCGGGTGGTGCTGAGCCTGTCCCGGGGTGCAGCTGGGGGTGTGGGGCCTCTCATCTGGCTTTCACTCTTGAGTCCTTTGCATTCAGTCATCCCTTCGCTGTGGGATGGGTGCTGAGCATCTGATGGGTGCAGCGCCAAGGCTGAGCCCTGGAGAGCCTGGCGGGTGGGGACAGCAGGGCAGCTCACAGGAGAGAGCAGCCCAGTGCCCGGTGATGCCTTCCGGACAGATGCAAGTGGGGATCTGTGGGCGGACCCTGGGCTGGCCGGAGCACCAGCATGTGCCAAGGCCCTGAGGTGCAGCTGTCGGGCGCTGGGGATTCCCGGAAGGGGGCGCAGGGTGCTGAGGGAGAGGAGGAGGAGCTCAGGTCTCGAGGGGCCTGT